CGGGCAGCTCCCAGCCGCTCCTCCCCACGCCTGCAGCGGTGCCTGGGGTTGTTGTGCTCCCAGTGCAGGACCCGGCCCTGAGCCCTGCTGACCCTCACCTTCCACTTCACAGGTAACTGTGCTCACCGTCCCTCCCATTCAGGACCCGAGACGGCGAGGCGAGCACCCCAAGGGCGTGGGCGCTGTGCCTTGGGAAGCCTGCCCAAACACGAACCAGTGCCGAGTCACAGCGGGTAAGGAGGACGAGCCCACCCCTTCCCGAGCACCGACACAGCTTTCCTGCCTTCCCACCCCTCGGCAGCGCTGCGCTCTCACACCTCTCTAACGCCCGCTCACCTGTTGACTTCCGAAACGTTGTTGACCCTCGCAGCTTCCAGCAGAGCATCTTCTGAAAAGAGAGAAAGAAGAGAAAGCGAGTTAGCAGCAAAACGCACTCACGCACCCAATAACCCGGAGGTGGCACAGGCCGCCGCAGCAGAGAAGGCCGGGCCTGTGCTTACAGCTCGTACCAAACACCACGGGTTAGGAAGGATCTATTTTTGCGAGCAGGTTACTCCAAAACCTGCTGCTCGCTCGCTGGCTTACCACAGCCTCCCTGCAAGCCCCGGTGCCAGGCGCTGGGGAAGGCAGGCCTGAGCAGCAGTTCCCAAAACGCAGTCAGAGGCAGAGACGCGGGAACCTGCGTGCGAGTTGAATCCCCGGCCCGGCTGCACCAGTCCCCTCCTCGCCTCTCCTAGCCCAAACCCAGACACTCAGCCCGCTGGAACAGTAAGGCGAGAGATCCCCCGGGCATCCCCCGTGGACGCAGCCAGGGACGTGGATTGCTCCTCCCTGGGAGCCCCGTCTCTCCCAGCCTGCCGGAGATCACCCACGCCTGTAGCAAACCACCTCTGCTTACAACCACGGGCGCTGCCAGTCTCCGGCTCGGAAAGCGCCATGGGATGAGCCTGGGAAAAGGCTGGAGCGGAGGGCAAAGGTCCTGCTGGGGCACCCGGGGTTCCAGCAAGGAATCAACTGCAACAACAACTGGAGAAACAAAGATTTTTTTCCCGTGTTTGCAACGCAGACCCCGGGAGCGGCAGGCTCCGGGGCGCAGCGGGCACGGGGGGCAGCTGGCACTGTCACCCCAGGCGGTCACAGCCTGGGCCAGAGGTTTGTAGCCACCACAGCAGGGCAGCGAGCCCCTGCGGCGGGCTCAGACGGACACCTCCTGGCTGGAGAGGGTAGGGACAGCGCCCAGCTCTGAGCTGCTGGAGCCAGAGTTGTTCAAATCCAGCGCCGCCAGCAGAGCTGTCCCGGGGCGACTGGGAAGCTGGGACGATTCTCCCCAATTCTCCCCAGCCTTCAGGTGCCTCCCGCTCTCTCCCCAACATTTTGTGCCTCCTTTCTCCAAGCCATTTGTGCCCGCGGCTCGGCCTTCTGCCTTGCGTCTTTAACCTGTCACCTTAACCCCTGTCCCGTGCGCCCCATCCCCGGCTGCTGGGGCGAGGGTGCCTCTCTCGGGGCACGAGCACACAACCAGGCGCGCGTTCGGCTCGCCCCAGCAGCCAGCACTGCAGAGGTTCGAGCTGCACCGCAAACCTCAACGCTTCCTCCGCCGCCCTGAAGGTAACGGCGCTCGGCGCGCTGCAGGGAGCTATTTTGGCTGACGGATGTCATCGGTGCAGACGTGCATCTAAACTAAGAGCACAAATTGCTTGTGGTCTTATTAGGAAAGCCGGGATGGGTGGGCACTGCGGGTTTACCTGGGCTGCGCGCTGTCTCAAGGACAATTTGCCAGGCTGAAGGTGTCAGAGGGGAGCAGCGGGTGCGTTTGTGTCCCCCCCGGGGACGACGGCTGCTCGCTAGCCCCAGCACCGCAGCAGAACACCAGCAGCACGGGCCACGCAGCCCTGCCCGAGACACGGGGTAAAATCCAGGCAGTTGGGACCAAACGACCTTTGGTGTCCGAGTTACCGAGCGTTCAGGCACCTCAGGTCCAGCACCGTGTCCTCCTCCCAGTCACAGAAGGGTTTGGGATGGAAGGGACCTTTAAAGCCCATCCAGTCCCCCCCCTGCCATGGGCAGGGACAGCTCCCACCAGATCAGGGTGCTCACAGCCCGTCGTGGCTCGGGATGTTTCCACGGATGGCGCATCCACCACCTCTCGGGGCAACCCCGGCCAGTGTCTCACCGCCCTCAGCGTGAAACATTTCTTCCTTCCATCCAGTCTGAATCTCCCCTCTTTCAGTTTAAAACCATCCCCCCTTGTCCTGTCGCAGCAGGCCCTGCTAAAAAGCCTGTCCCCACCTTTCTCACAAGCCCCCGTTAAGCACGGCAAGGCCGCAATCAGGTCTGCCCGCAGCCTCCTCCTCTCCAGGCTGAACCCCCCCAGCTCTCAGCCTCTCCTCCCAGCAGAGCTGTGCCACCCTCGCACCATTGCTGTGGCCTCCCCTGGCCCCGCTCCAACAGCTCCATGTCCTTCCCGTGCCGAGGACCCCCGAGCTGGACGCAGTACTGGGTAAAGAACAACATGGGGCTTCCCCAAAGCCACCCGCAGAGCCAGAGCCGGGAAGGCTCCCCATGGCACGGCACGGCTCTGCGAGCTCTGCGGGGACCCCTGAGCAATCCAGGCCTGCCCTTCTGCAGCCGCATCCCCGCCCTCTCCAGGAAAGCATCCCACCTGCTTCCCGCACTCTCCCCGCCTCCGGGTTTTGGGGTGCTCGTGGCTCCGTCCCCTCTGCCTGCAGCCACAGCCACGTGGCTGCCCGGCTCTGAACACCAACCGATCCACAAACCGGCTCCGGCACCAAAGCCGGGCCTTGGTCTCGCAGACCTTTCCTAAGCACTAATTACACAAGACTCCTCGTAACGATGGTGAAACCTCCTGGGTGACCAACCCGGCAGCCCAGCCCAGCAGCCGGCGCGTTACTCACAGGGAAACCGAGCTCTGATGTGCCTGAAACCAGTGAGTACGTGTCCTGCTCCGAAGTCACAGCCCCTCCTGCCCCAGGCCTGCGTCGCGCCAGCGGACGAGCTCGCTGCCGGCAGGCCTGAACCGGCGAGCAGCGAGCACCCCCTCGTGCACGCACCGGCTCCTCTTCCGCAGCTGGGACCGAGCCTGGATCCTGCCCTCCTCCGGCCGAAGGTCTGAAGGTTGCCTGGCACTCAGCAGAGCAGCAAACACATCCCGCGACACCGCCCGGGCCACTCCATCTCCTGTCCTGCGGCAGGAGAGCGGGGTGACAACAACCCGGGCCGGAGCGACCAAGCGCCCCGAGTGCTCCCGAACACAAAACGCTGCACGAGGGCCGAGAACGGGACTTGCCGTGGCACAAACCAAGTTACACATCAACCCAAAAGCGTGCGACTTGCCCCGACCGGGACTATCCCGTGCGCTTCAGCTCAGACACGCGCGTCAGCCTTTCTAGATCCAAACCTGTGGCAACGAGGGCTTGTGGCCATCCCCTAACTGCTTCCTTGCCACAGCAGGGTGGACATAAATCGCTCTGTGAGAAACCTTGGGCTTATCGGGGTATTAACTCAGCCCCTTCCAACTCCCAAACCTTTGTGCTTGCCCAAAATATCCTACGGTCAAAGCAGAGGACTGGAGAGAGCTGGCCCTGCGGAAACTCATAGAATTACAGAAGGGTTTGGGGTGGAAGGGACCTTACGGATCATCTGGTCCAACCCCCTGCCATGGGCAGACACCTTCCACCAGCCCAGGTTGCTCCAAGCCCCGTCCAACCTGGCCTTGAGCACTGCCAGGGATGGGGCAGCCACAGCTTCTCTGAGCAGCCTGCTCCCGTGCCTCACCACCCTCACGGTGAAGAATTTCTTCCTTACACACGCACCCCGACAGCTCCAACCCTCCCCTGCCAGCCTCCTCACCCCACACACACCACAAAACCCTCCCCGGAGACGGTCTGGGGCGCAGCTGACGGGCGCTGGCTCTTTTATCTCGGTGGCAAACGTGAGCATCGTTATCTTCACACCCCAGGAGACCTGGGGTATCTATCGCGGCCCAGCACACCTCTGGGCTAGGGATGAAGGATAACGCTTTCCTGGAGGGCTTCCCAGCCCAGGGAGGCTCCATCTCCAAGGAGGGACCCCCACGCCCCCCTTCTCGAGGGGCACAAGCTCCCCTGCTCTGTATCGAGCCCCCTCCCGAGCCCAGACGGCAAGCGGCAATAGTCACCCTTGGAGCGGTGGTCCCTGAGGTAGCAGTAAGCCAGGGCAGCGACGAGGGCAGGCAGCGCGGCTCCCGGGGGGCAGCTCCCGTCTCCGCTCCGTCGCCCGCCGGGGTCTCCTCCGCGACGGCAGCACCGCTCGGCGCCCCAGGGCCACGGTGCCGGCTCCCCAAGGGCCGCGGCGAAGCCGGACGGCAGCGG